TGTTATGTACGATTATTAATATTATTATTATTATTAGTAGTAGTAGTTGTAGTAGTATTATTATCATTGTATTATATTATTATTATTATTATTATTATTATTATTATTATTATTATTATTATTATTATTATTATTATTTATTTTATTTTGTCTGGTACTGTTGGCCTAAATTCAGAATTCCTAAATTCATGTACAGTGGTACTGTTGGCCTAAATTCAGAATTCCTAAATTCATGTACAGTACATTGTATAAGTAATCTCTGCTAATTAGCATGCATCAGCTCTGTACAGCTACGGTATATAAACCGTTTGTTATTTTATAAAGTATAGGCCTAGCCCTTATTGTTTATGCTAATAAAGTGTTTAAAGAAGGTTTATTGCAGGGACGACCGAGATATTCGTTTAGTAATAAACATATTAATGTCACTAATTTTAACCTTTGTTATTTTTTCTAAAATGATGTGTTGTGCTCTTATTTATCTACCATTTATATCCATTACTGTACACATCTTTCAATTAATTTGCTAGTTAACCTATCTATATAAGGCATAAAATAGAATTGTTTGTTTGCCCTTCTTTTCTTTAATGATAAAAAGTTGCGGGTAGATTTTTTTTTTAAGATACTCATTAGATGGGATAAAACCCACAGCAGAGGCCTAGAATGGCAATTTTTTGGCCCCTATTTCTTTCAGTGAGTTAGGAGTGGGTGAGGAGGGCAAACAAACGCACAGTACAAAACGGACATGATACATAATAAGAATAAGTCAATTTAGGAACTCTGCAGTATATATACTTTATTGCCGGAATATCGGTGAATATTGCATTACAAAATAAGTTTCAACATAAGTAGGCCTAATGGTCTACTTTATCGTCACTGTCCTTGCACGTTTAACCCTCCTACGTTGGCCAGGTTCACGTGCGCTCTTTGGGGTGACTGGAAAAGTAAGAAGACCATCGGAAGAAGTAATTGTCCTTTTCTTCTTGGGTGGTGCGGCATTCATAAAATCTGTAAAGATCTTGTCTTTATCGTCATTACGCTTCTTTACCCAATCATAATGTTTTACTCCATATTTTGCTACCCATGGTGATAAAATGAAATTACCAACTCCATGGAGAGCTCTTCGAATATTGCATAACTGGAGCTGAACAATACTTTTAATCCTGTCTACTAAATCTGGTAGTTTGAGAGCTTTCCAATTCGTGCTTAGGTTTAAAATATTATTCATAGATTCACAAGAATTGTTCTTCCAACATACAGGATCAATACAAATAAAAAAAAAATTAAAATTAAAATAATAAGAGTCAAAAACACATAAGTATAAAAAATACAAAGCAGATACTGTAATAAATACAGATATTGTAGAATAATAGGCCTATACATACAATAGGCATACACGCAGGATGAAATGTAACGTACTGTACGTAGTGAATGTTGTAGAGGTCAAGGTTGAACGCGTTTCTGGAGACGTGAATGCGTTACAGAACCTCAATGTCACCGCATTACCTTCCGAAGCACGGCGGAAAAACCTGTAAAAAAAATCATTTTTACCATATTTTGGATAATTACCGTACTAAAAGTTGGTTTCTATTGATTATTAAGTAGTTTTCTACTCTCGTGTGGAAATATTTTCATCATTTTTGCACCCGTGTGGTCGCGAGTGGTCCCGTGTGGTCGCGAGTGGTTCCGTGTGGTATTTAGTAGGACCCGCTGTTTTCAATCGAATTTTTTTTTAAATCGGAAGAAGTTGTCAGGCCAATATTTCACAGAATACAAGAACAGACACTGATTGTTCATTGGCGACCAACGATAACATCCAGAAAAATTGCACAATTTTGTAAAACGACGATAATTACGACCATGTTTA